CTCCGCGGGAGGGCCCCCTTCGGCTACACGCATGAGTGACCCTAGCCAAGAGGGACCCTTGGTTGGTACGCGGCCCAATGGGGGACCGCTTGGTGACACCTCCATGCGTGCAAGCCGCTGCTATTGCACCGCAGTCAGCGATCAGGGGGGGGGCCATTGGGCCCGCACCATTGGACACACTGGCGAAAGACCACTCTTACGTGTAACCTTCGCTCGGACGTGTCCTCGTGCAGGCGGGTTCCGGACAAAAATACATAGTCAGAAAACAATTCCACATAGTCAAAGCAGCATGAACAAGCGTCGCATGACCATCGTTTACTGTTCTTGAACATTCCTCCTGTAGAGGAACATGCCCGGCTTACGTGTAGCCGGCCCTTTCCCTCCTTCCCCATCCCCTCGGCTCCTCCCTCCGTCCCAGACCTCCTCTCGTCGTGGCAGCTTCCTGACCGGAGGTCTTTGCCAGTGTTCGGTCTCTGGCGGCCCATGCTGGCCTCCAAAGACCATCAACAAAACCACATGGGATGCAAAACACCGGCCGCGGGGGAAGTGGTCTAGACCTCTGAGGTGCACCATAGGAAGAACAGTACCAGGCGTCGGAGATCTGCGACATCACTCCCTCCTCCAACCTCCTCCGCGTCCACCTCCTCATCCTTCTCCTCCTCCTTCTCCTCCTCCTCCTCCTTCCTCCTCTTCCTCCTCCCTCCTCCCCTCCCGTTCTTCCTCTCCCTCCTCCTGCTGTCCCTCCTCCGCCTCCTCCTCTTCCCCCTCCTCGCCATTCCAGCCCAACTCTGGGCTTGCAGCAGCAAGCAGCGAACATAAGAATGGCAGTGCGGTTGTGGGTCGTAGACTCCAGCCTCTGTAGGCTGTCACTTCTTACGTCTCAGGTCGCAGAACCTTCCCCAGACATGCGAGGTCCTGATTGTTCCGCAGGGTCTCCAGAAATCCTGACCCTTTCCCTGGCGCCAATTGTTCGTCCTCAGTCGCTTTTTCACAGTCTAAGGGCCCGGCGAGACCGAAAACAACCAAAATCTCAAACCGCTCGGGAATTGACAGAACCCCCTTTAGCAAAACGCGGTTAAGTGAAAACGACCTCGGGCCAGAAACCTGGCGAGCGCAAGCCTGGAAAATGACGGCCGTGGCGCCCTCTCGAGAACCGAAAACGGACAATTCACTAATCGACGTGTCAGGGTGGGGGTTCGGTCCACCGCCGAAGCTCGCGTGGTTGGTGCGCGCTGCAGGCTGTCGCACTCTCGTGGTGCAAGCACCGCGCTGCTCCGCAGGCTGGGCCTGCTCCTCCTGCGCACCTCGCCTTCCCGCGGCGCCTTCGCCACCCCCTTTCCTCCTCCTCCGTCTCCTCCTCCGTCTCCTCCTCCTGCTCCTCCTCCTCCTCCTCCTCCTCCTCCTCCGTCTCCGCCTTCTCCTCCTCCCCCTCCTCCTCCTGCTGGCCCTCCTCCTCCGTCTGCGCCTCCGCCTCCTCCCTGGTCCTCCTCCTCCGTCTCCGCCTCCTCCTCCTCCTCCTCCTCCTCCTCCTCCTCCAACCTCCTCCACCTCCGCCTCCTCCTCCCTCCGCCTCCTCCACCTCCGCCTCCTCCTCCGCCCTCCTCCTCCTCCTCCTCCTCCTCCTCCTCCTCCTCCTCCTCCTCCTCCTCCTCCTCCCCCTCAGGGATCACACGACGGACGCTTTAGTGCACTCGCGCCTGGAGCTCGAGCCTTCCAAAGTGGCAGGAAGGACTCAGGGCGAGGGCAAAGGAGGCAGCTGGTGGGCAAGACCTACCTCTACCTTCAGCGGTCCGCCTGGCTCCTGCCAGCACCCTGCTCCCCCCGAAAAGACTTTTCGGAGGAGCTCAATTCTCGTCCGGCGGGCAGTCGGTATCCGCGTCGGAGGTCGACTTCGAGAATGATCGAGGCGAGGCTTGCGAAGCTTGACGGAAGGAGCCCGTCCACAGAAATAGCATCGAATACGCCAGGCGAGAGACCCATCCGAACAATGCGAGATTGCAGCTCGAGACTGGTGTCCAAAGCCAGGAGGACAGGACGACGCTGCGACGAGTCACATTTCTCGTGCTTTTGCTGCTGAACCTACAGCTACTGACCCCACCGACATAATGCAGATCTTCGCCTTGGTCGCCGAATCCTGTTGCGATCTGGCGGGAGGACCTCTTTGTGGATGGGTGATGCAAAGAACCTCCAATTGAGAAGCTCTGTCGTTAAAAATGAGGTACCTCTATGGTCCGGCCCGAGGGCAGATTGGAGGCCCTCGTGTAAGGCCGGCTTTCTTCTTAGTTCTTCCCAACCTGCGACAAACTCTTGTCGTGACGACTTCGGCGGTGGCTTCAGACACCGCGCGGATAGTTTAACCTTGAACGCCCGCGCTGGGGTCGTCACCGCATCGACTCGACACGAGCCTACCGCCCCAGAGCTGAAAACGGGACTCCGCACGCAACCGCATATCTCGCTCCCGTCAATTTTCGCCTCAAGTCCGACTGTACCAATGCTGTTTCTTTCGGGACCCCGACACCATGCGGTGACGGGCCGCGTGGTGGTCTCAAAACCCCAAGAGACCTCACCGCGCAGCCCGTCACCGCACGTTCCTGGGACTCGGAGGCCCCAGTCGCCCGAGACGTCCCCAGCGAACGACCCGAGTCCAAAAACCGCGCGGTGACCACGAATCCTCACTGACTCACCAGGATGTGTGGTCACGGCACCGTTTTGGGGCCCCTGATCAACGCCTGGGCCTGTGCGCGGTCCGGGAGCGTTGCCCGCGCAAAAGGATGTGCACTGGTCTTGTCTTTCAGGCTGACGCCCTCTCCGAGGGTTTCACTTCCGGCATGGGCAAAAGCGTGGTCTCGCCTCGAGGCCCCCTGCACTTTCTGGCACACGTTTCGGCCTACAGACGGCTCTAAGAAGGCCCCAAACCGCCCCCAAGCGGCTGCAAGATGTCCGACGACCAGCGCCAGAGACTTCTGAATCACCCTCCCAAAGCTACAAGCTGTCCCCAAGTCGCCACCGTGCGTTGGGCACGCATTTGCCGCAGGTATCCGCCACGTGTCCCCGGGCCCCAGAATCCTCTGCATGGCGTACACTCTTTTTTGTCAGCGCAGCCAATGCTGCTGAGAGAATTGCACCGTCTGCTCGCGCCAGGGACTCTGCGCCGACGATCGGGTCGGGCGAAAAGGGGGGATAGCAAAGGGGGGGGTTGAGAATCAGCTCATGCAGCTGATTTTCCCGGCGCCTCCCGGCGCCGGAGGCGGCTATGCATCGAGAAAGGGGCCCCTCGGTGGGGCCGAAACCAGCGGCATGCAGCAAATTTCGTACCCCCCCCTTCCCAATCCCCCCCTTTCGTCCGGCCCGAGACGAGCGCCTGCCCGGGCCCGGGGGTCATGCAGGGAGAAACAGCCCTCCCGGCTGCCTCCCGAGGATCGCCCACGGCGCGGCCCGCGCAGAGCACCCCGCTCCGCCGCGCGCAGGCCTGCCGCCCGGGGCTCCGCTGCGCCGCCCGCGCGGCGCGGGGCGCCCACGTTTGCCCCGCTGACAGCGAGGCGGCCCCTATCGGGCGCTGCTGGAGCGGGGCAGGGCAGGCGCCTCCTCTGGGAGGGGGCGTGGGCCCCACCACCAAGAAAAAGCTCGCTCATATAAAGTTAGACCGCAGAGTTCGACCCCTGTGTCACCCTGCTGCCTCGCCCGGCCGAGGACAGCGCCCGAGAAGGCGGCCGAGGCCGCAAGGGGGGGGCGCGGCCGTGCTGCAGGCGTCATTTGCTGAAGAATTGGGCAGGTTACTCGGTCCAGAGAGTCTGCGCTAACGAGCGTCAATAAAAACTTAAGACTGCAGAGCTCAACCTGTCATCACTCCGCTGGCTCGCCAGGCCGAGGACAGCGAAGAAGGCGACACTGAGGCCTGGAAAAGGAGCCGCAAGCGGGCAATCTGGAAGAGCACCTCCATCGACCCCAGCTTGCACCACTGGCACTGCATACGATTCTTCGGGGTTGCAAGACGTGCCCAATTCGGGCCCAAGGGTGGAGGCGGAACGCCTCGCGAGGAAGCCTGTCGGCTGATTGGGCTTATAGCGGGCCCTACAAGGAGGAGGGCGACACAACGCACGCAACCTCGAAAAAACGATCTCATAGCGGGCCCTACAAGGAGGAGGGCGACACAACGCACGCAACCTCGAAAAAACGATCTCGATCCCATCTCGGCGAAGGAGCAGAAGGGTGAGGGACAGGGAGGGAGGGAGGGGGAAGGGAGGGAGAGGAGGGAGGGACATAACACCATCCACGTGCAGAATTCGATGTGCCAACAGTCCTCAAGGGGCCCAAAGCCTCAATTTCCAAACGCTCCCTGGCACTCCTCGGCGCTCCTCGGTCTTGGCGCTCTAGCCCTTTCTGCGGGCAAGAAGGGCCAACCACGTGCGAGGAGGGTCCCAGCAGACTCTCGAGACGGCCCGAGAGGGCCCCGAGTCGCCCAAAGATCGCTCCTAGACGCCGAAGATAGCCTCCACACCCCCGAAACGCCCCAGGAGGCCTTCAAAAAGTCCCCCAAGAGGGCACCGAGAGGCGGTTGTACATCAGTGATTGCACTTGGGTGTTTAACAGATTTTGGCGCTCTCGCCTTATCGGGCTCCCGACGCGTCAAGACGGCCCCCAAGATCGGGCCCCAGGACGGCCAAAGAGGGCCCAGCACGGCCCAAGAGGCTCCCGAGATGGCCCAAGAGGGCCGCAAGAGAGCCCCAAGAAAGGACACGAACCAACATATCGAGCCTTCCGCCCAATATGACCCCCGAGACCGCAAGCATGCCCCTGAAAGACCCGTAGAAGCCCCAGCGGCCCCCAAGAGGCCCAAATAAGAGACACCCCCAAACCGCCTCCAATGGGGCCCCGGATAGGCCTCCCAAGAGACCCTCGCAAGCATCCTAGAGGCCCTTGACCGGCAACAACCAAAAAGCTGTGGCGAAATGGGCTGAAGGCCACTGGATCCGCCGCCCCTCGCGTTTGTGTGCGAGCTC